GGCAGGCAGGGCACGGGCACGGGGTGCTGACTGGCCCCATGTCTGTCAGACCCGCCAGCGCATCACCAGCCTCCTGCAGGAGGCCAAGACCCAGGTGGCGCTGGTGCTGGACCGCCTGGAGGAGCGACAGGAGTGACAGTGGGCGGCGACCTCGTGGACTCTGCACCCCCAGAAGCCCCGCTCCCTTTGCAGTAGGGTCCAGCTTGCCCGACAGGACAGGGCGGCCTTTGGCACAGTCCTCGTGAGGTCCAGACAGTGAGCGTGGGAGTGGGTGGGGCCTCTCTGTGTCCCCCTCTGTCACCTGCGGCCTTCACTAAAGTCACAACACACCAGTGCCTGTGTAGTGTGTTTGGGGTTGAGGGAAGGGGCCGAGCTGATTGGGTAGGGATTGGGGTGGTGACAGTGAGTGGGAGAGACTGGAGGAAACAGCGGAGCAGCACGAGAGGATGTGTGTGAGACGTGGCAGGGCCTGAGCCAGGCCACTGGTCACTCAGAGCACCCGGGGCTCCGTGCAGGCTGCCTGGCGAGGTGGCTATAGGGTGTGCACGGGCAGAACCCCCAGGGGCTAGAGGGTCCCCTCTGATTGCATCGCTCCTGATGGGGGGTGGCAGGCAGGCGTCTGGGAGGCGGGCTGAGAAGGAGCAGGTGAGCTGGAGTTCTTGGGGAGGTGACAGTGACATGCAGACTTCCCGTGTCCTGGCTGGGTGGGTGGGTGTGGGGCAGTGGAAATGTCACTCCCGGGGTACCAGGAGGGCTGTGTGCCGGGTGCTGACTTCTCTCATGGAGGCTGGGGGACTGAGGCCTGGTGATGGGGTCCCAGGAGGATGGCCCCCCAACCCCCAACCCACAGCCCCTCTGCCTGCTGCAGCCTCCCCTACAGGGCCTGGGTGTGGTGGGGGGCTCCAGGGCTCAGGCAACCGGACAAGACCGAGCCCCACACAGGGGCACAGGTCCAGGTGCCAGCTGATGGTGGCACCAGAGGCAGGGTTGGGGGGGTCCTGGATGGGGCTCCAGGTGGAAGAGGCCAGGTGTGCCGCGGGACGCGAGCTGCAGCGTTAGGCCTGGGGCCGGGGAAGCCTGGGGAGAAGAGGCCCCTGCAGGAGGCCCTGTAGACCCTGGGGCAGCAGAGGAGCATGTCCCGCCAGCTCCGGCCCGGAGGCTGCATGTGGTGGTTGAAAACCCAGGTGGCCAGGGTTCTGCCAAGTAGCCCCCGACCTGCTCCCTGCGGGGCGCTGCACAGCCTCTCCGGGAAATCGCTGAGGTCCCCCTGTGCCCATGTGGTATTGGTCTCTGCATCCCCGGCCAGTCACAACAGGTGCACATGTATTCTGATATCCCATCACTGTCCCCAGGCACAGAGCAGGTCATGCACGGTGACTGGTTTCTACTTAACGAGACAGCTGAGCTTGTCCATGTCTGCATTCAGACAGACTCCTGCTGGCAGCAGCTTTATTCACCCATTCTTCCCGTATCTTCTTAACCTTTTATCGTGAAATATGAGATACGTTCAGAAAGGTGCTCGAAACAATGGCCAGTCAGTACTCAACGATTTGTGAGAAAGCTTTTCCTGAGTGGCATCTCTCCATCACAGATCCCCCCTGCCCCTGCCCCTGGCCCCTGACCCCTGACCCCTGACCCATGACCCTACTATCCTGCAGACCTGTTTGGCACAAGCATGCCCTT